GGGGGGGTAACAAGTTCAGAAGCGACTACATGGGTTTTAATGGGGGTGCCTGAGTGTGATTTGCTTATTTTCTTTCAGTATATTTAAAAGTATTTTTTTCCTCAGTTCCGTGAGGAATTCAGGTATGCCCCTCAGCCGCGCGTTCTTCGCTTTGCATTTCCGCACGACATGTTTTTTTAGCGGATTTTTCTTGAATTTTTAGTTTTATATTTTTTATTTTATTTTTTCCAACTGAGGTCGCCTAGGACCATTCCCGGGGGGTCATGCTCGCCCGGTACGTGAACCCTCGCGGTGTGACGCTCATTGATGGGTGGCGGTGTTGGACAAAGGATGACAAATGAAAGGCAATGCAACTTTGTTTTTTCCAAAGACCATCAGGATAACGGCCTGATACCTCTCGAAAATCATAAGTGACGCAAGGGTTCGGCCGGGGACGCTTGAAGATGCACGAGTTGCAGCCTGGGGTTTCCCGTCTTTCGATAGCTGCGCTTGAACGAGTTTTAAGAGTTGTTGTGACAACTCTCAACAGAAAAAAAACTCGGGGGATTCTCACATCAGACCAACGTTGGAGTCGTTGGAGCAACATTTTAAGACACGTTCGATCGAAAACAAACGTTGCATGGTCCAAGCATCAGTTGCCCAACATTGGTATTGCCACATATACGTTTTTCAAGCCAAATGTAACGTTGGAGAAAATAACCACAATATTGTTCAAATGTTTCATTGGATGAACGAGTTTCGTCAAAGGTGTGCGAGTTCCAACTTGAAATCACTATTGTTACTCGATGGGGGCACTGGAAGTAGATGTCAGGAGCAGCTGCTCACAAAATGCTTGGTTTTGCGTGAACTGGCCATTCCAGTTTACGGCTGCACCGTACTCTGAGTCCCTAACCACTGCCAATTGCGGCAGTGGGCAAGATGCATCCCCCTGACTACAACTACGGAGCGTAGCCTACTGGGTTTAAGTGGGATCCAACGGTTTTTTTGCAGGTCTTCCCGTCGAGTTCGGGAGGTAGTGAAAACGAATGTGTACGTGGCAGGTTTTACAAAGCCCTACTGCAAAAAAGAACTTCCCGAAATCAGAAGAAGCCAACACCGTCCATGCATCTAAAAAGAAGGCTTTTTTTTTTTTTTTTTTTTTTTTTTCATTTCCTTGGTGTCCGGTGGTCCGCCTTCCGTATGTCCGTGGTCGTGAATAGTGTGTGAGAATGTAAGATCCAATAGGGCAGGCCGTTGGGAATCTACCATGCCTACCTGAACGGGAGAAAGCTGGCTGGATTTGTAACGGTACCATTAAGGGTGGCAAGGGGGACTGCAATACTGCCGCACAAATGGACTCGCGAGAGACAAGACTGCCGCCCGCAGTCCCTTCCCGTGTCCCCCTTCCGTTCGCCTGGACAAATACCCGCCACGAATAGTCCCAGTTCTTATTGGTTCTCCCCAAAAAGAGTAGTAGTCGGATCAGCCCCTAATGACCTTACAGGCTCTTGATGGTAGCCTTGTGAGCAGCGGGAAGCACTCCCTGTGGGACTGCAGTCAATGCATGAGGGCCTCCCTCCAGTACTCGTAGTTCGAAAAGTATCTCGACTACACAATAGACCATATTCTTTTTCCACTGACCAAACATTTCGCATGCATCAGACCTCCGACATGTCCAGATGCATTTAGTATGTTGTGTAGTGGAGCCAGCCCCTGAATGTGCTTCCGTTTCTGGAGACCACGATAAAATAGGGGCTCGCCACACAGGCTTTCGAAACGACGAAAATCGAGGTCGTGTCTTCGCCACACAGCCTTTCGAAACAAGTTCTTTCGAAAAAGTTTCGAAAGGTGTC